CAATATTACCAGTCAGCAGAAATAAGAAACCCCTTAATTGCCGAGCTAAACATCATGACTAGCGCCCCCTCACAAAACAATATCCCAGTACAACGTATACCTTGCCTCCAAAGCACCCTAGACAGGTAAAACAATTTCTGATAAAGGTTTAACAATAAAATAACTATATCTTGATTTTTCTAATTTCAGGACAGGACAGGTAGGATATTCGGCGCCTGTCTTATGAAAATTGGTCTTCTCGTTACCCCCCACAACAAATTCTAAGACACTTGGATTTAATTACCCCAGTCACCCTGTGGTCTTGATCATGGAAAGTTTATCGTCACGTGGTTTGTTGGATTTAATCACCCCAGCCACCCTGTGGTCTTGATCATGGGAAGTTTATCGTCACGTGGTTTGTTGAATTTAATTACACCAGTCACCCTGTGGTCTTCATCATGGGAAGTTTATCGTCATGTGGTTTGTTGGATTTAATTACCCCAGCCACCCTGTGGTCTTCATCATGGGAAGTTTATCGTCATGTGGTTTGTTGAACTTAGGAAAGTTCTTTATTTCCTTTAAAAACTAAATTCGTGTCACGAAATTTTTCGGTTTTTTACAATTAAAACCTGTCCAGCAGCAGCAGGAGAAGCCATACATACAGACAACTGTTCTAAGAACATCTAGCCGGAACATGTCACATACTAAATAAGACGTAAGTTTATACGTGGTCATGTAACTTACAGTATTAAATTTATTTAATTCAATATGCATGTTGGTCATTTATAGTAACAGCTAGATTGATATATAACATTAAATTTCTTAAACAGTATCAACTATATTAGCCTAAGTGATAGGCGTAGTATGTGAATCCTTGCACGTGACAAGCCTGCTTCAGTGCTTGGAAATATCGCTAAGCAGGCCTAACTTTATTAAGTGTTCATGAGATAACGGCCGAAAACACCGCTAATAACGACAACACCCAACTGATGATGTCAGTCAGATTGGTCACAGAGGCTTGTTATAATTTGCCTGTCACTTATAATTAAGATTAATTATTATTAAGTGTGATATTTTTATTGAAGATTTTAACGACTCTTCGGGTAAAATTTATTTGATAATCGACATCTTTCTGTATTCGACGCATGTATATTATTCTAAAACACAAACTATTAGCTGCAACTAAACATTTACCGTGTCGAACCGTGGTATATTTTATCTGTTTTTTATTATCAATATTTGTGTACAGTCATCCTTCTCGTAGTTTTTCAAGGGTTCAGTCAGCAAGAAATATTGAATTTTTACAAAATACCATGCATCTTGTTAGCACTAGATAGCATTTGATGTATCACAGCTTAATATCCTGAGCTACTCTTTTCATCCTAAGTAAATATGGCGTCTGTGACTGAACAAAAGTATCGAACAGCATAACAGAAGGGTGTAAGATGCTGAAGAGCTTGAGACGCCCTTGTTGTTTCTCCTTGACCTGGGACGACCTGAAATATAATGACGCTTATTAAGGTAAAGGTCTTGGAGTAAAATCACAGAATACATTCACACCAAACCTAAAACTGAGTTTAAAACATCAAAATTATTACAGTTGTACAAATCTCCCCCCCCCCCCGAAATAAGTTTGGGTCGTCCAAGACTAAAATTCGGAGTTTGACCTTAACGGTAGGAACAACGCACAGTTTATTAGCGACTAAACTAACAAATTAGTTGTACACGTCTTGAATATAAAAAAAGTAATAAAACATATCCATTAGGTCAATTCAATAAAGTTTACATGTTGGTCGTATTATTTATTAATCAAAAGGTCAGAGGTCTAATTCTCGTAAATCATGAAACCGCGCTCGTAGGTAAGCCTAATGTCGCCTGATAACCATCGACAAAAACAATACGAAATGAAGACTGATAAAAACAAAACAAAAACTGCTATGATCTTATACCCTTACTTTTACAAGGATTAAGAAAGAAACCTATTGGTCTCCATGAATGGGTGATGTACCTGTTGAGCCTGTATTTACTCACCAGTGATTGGTCTCCATGATGGGGTGGTGTACCTGTTGAACCTTCCTGGATATTGGTAGGAGTTTCTGGTGTGTTGATTAGGCCCGTGATTTGGAAGCTGTGGATGACTGACTAGAGGAGGTCTCCATGGTTTCCTTGTCTGTAGCACTAGAGTAGGAGGATAGTTTTTCTGAGGCGGCTGGGTAGCACGAGGTGGTCTCCATGGCTGTCTAGTTGGTTGATGCCCAAACCGAAGATCATTTTTAGGTCGCTGGGTTAGGTAAGGTCTCCATGGAGGTCTGTTTCTTTCGTGAGTTAAACCTGGTGTATTAAGTTGTGTTGGTTGAGTTGAGTGAGGTGGATTCCACGGCCATCTGGTGGGTCTGAAGGAAGGAGTAACAGTTAAAGGTTGTTTGGGTGACTGAACTTTAGGTGAAGGTCTCCAGGGGGTTCTAGTTGGCAGATATGATGTTAGAGGGTTCAGTGGACACGTGGCTGAAAAAGAATTGATACAAGTAAATGCAGTAGAGACGATACTTGGAAATGTAAATTCACAAATCAATATATCACTCTTCTGTGCTCATTTTTAGGTCATGTACTAGACGAAGGCATCACTGTGTAAGACTAAATTTCAGGTTTTTAGAATTTCATTTTGTTATAACTTCAGCTGGAATTTTACAAATTTTCTTTTGAAATACAAACAGCATTCATTTCAAAACAAATTCAATAACATGGTTTACTGTGTAATTAATATATGTAGGATTAACCATGATTTTAAAAAATGTTTTGCATATGTTAATAATTTGTCGTAGAGTCAAACTGCTAGATTTTGTCTTACGTGTGACGTGTTTAGCATGTCTTACGTGTGACATGTTTAGCATGTCTTACGTGTGACATGTTTAGCATGTCTTACGTGTGACATGTTTAGCATCTATATATATATTTGGTTTCGGAAACGTACAGCAAAAAGAGATAATACTTCTGTGAACAGAGTCTTCAGTTATTTCCATGGAAACAGAAAACCTGGCACAGCAAAAGTTCTGAAACTGTACACTCAAACCAAATAGAATAATGCCTTCCATTCACAAAAGGAAAGAGACCCTTCCGACTTAAAATGCCATTTTGGTAGAGATGGACTTTCAACCTAAAACCATTGAAGTTAGCAAAGGCTTACAAGCCTCCAGCCATCCCTTTAAACTAATGGATGTTTTTATGTGAAAGATGGCTGAAGACATCGTTAATCATAGTAATCCTGGTTGATCATAATATAACTGTCACGCCCCACCCCGATCCCAATGCAGCTCCGATACAGTTTTGTTGGTTTGCTTAAATGCTATCTTGAAAACAGACATATACTTACAGTGGAGGTTATTTGGGAAGTTTTTCAAGATGTGTTTTCTAAGATTGGCCTTGCCATCTTTTGCAGAAGCTCCTTACAATGAAAAATGTGATATCGGGTAGTAGGACGTAATTACACAATGGACGATGGTGGAACACGTTCCAAGGGCAGCACAGGTCAAGATAAATGGGATCTATTTTAATTGTGTTTTTGCTTTATTTGGCGTAGTTAGTTACATCAATATAATCTTGTTAATCAGGTAATAGTAATGGGGCATAACATCGTTCACTAACATCAATCTTCAAAGCTAGCTTTAAAAAACTTCACTGGCATTGGTATGGCACGTTTCCGCCCGTTTCCGGCGCCCTTCTAAGAAACAATGATATTCTACAATGCTTATCTTGAACTTACCATCCCTGGTGACTTTTGTACCATCATAAAGTAAACATTTCTCCCCAAAGACAGATTTGTCCTGCTTCTTATCCAGAACTTACCATCCCTGGTGACTTTTGTACCATCATAAAGTAAACATTTCTCCCCAAAGACAGATCTGTCCTGCTTCTTATCCAGAACTTAACATCCCTGGTGACTTTTGCCATCATAAAGTAAACATTTCTCCCCAAAGACAGATCTATCCTGCTTCTTATCCAGAACTTACCATCCCTGGTGACTTTTATGCCGTAGAGGAAAGGATCTTCTCCTCGAAGACAGTTTTGTCCTACTTCTTTTATGTACGCTTCCTCACCGTTCCTTAACACTTTACCAGACTAATGAAGAAATGTTTATATTAGTTTTGTATAAGAAAGATAAAAATCGCTGATTTGTATCAAAAACACTTCAAATTAAAACGTTTCAGTTAGAACTTGCATATACCCCAATGGTTTATTTTTACATGTTATACAGTAATTCCTGTACGCTGAATCCGAAAATGATATCTATTTTTCTCCATCACGTACAGAATTTTCACCAAACGTTATAACCCAATACATAAAAGAAAGACCACAACACGTAGTTTTGAGATTAAAAGACGTAGATTTCACACACATAAAATCAGGATGAATGAGCATGCATATTCGTTTGACATCATTGTTCTTCACTTTTCTCCAGTTTGTTTGTATTTTTGTTAACAAATATAATAATAAAAAA